CTGGACAATGCTTTAGGAAGCAGAGTCCTTGGTGCCCCGTCATGGCTGGACACAAGGAGTGCCCCCACAGTCCAGCCCCCTCCCCAGCCCCAAGCTCCATGGGCGAACCGGAAAGGGCTTTACCTCCAACGTCTTCCTCCGGTCTGAGGGCTCCCTGAGGGGGCTCTCGGTGATCAACACCGGGCAGTCCTCGTGCTCCTCTCGGTGCTTCCTCATGATGAACGACCAGATGTGCTCCACACCCTCCCAGTTGAGCACACGGCCGCGCTCTATGGGGTAGCTGAAGGTGTCAGGGTGGATGAAGTTGATGCCCAGGCTCACGCGTCTGCGAGCGTAGCTGGGCCCGGGGTTCTCACGGCATGGCATGTAATTGACGATGTTGGGGACCACCAGCTGGGGGACGTTACACCCAGCCAGGCCAGCCTTCACAAAGCCAGAGCCATGGTCGATGACAATGGTCTTGGTGGCCATGGTCGAAGCAGATGGAGGGTCGTCTGGACGGAGCTCTCCGAACGTGTCTGGTGAGCTTGAGCCACCTACGGAAGGACAAAATGGGCGTTATCAATGAAGCCTTTCTCGGTCACCACAGGCTGCCTCCACCCTTAAGCGCATAGTCAGACTGCAGGCTAGCCCTGAGGCTTGTTCGGTCCCTTGCCCAGGCTTTGCACCAACCCTAACTTGTGTCGGGCATGTTTTCTCACCCAAAGTCCTGATCAGCCTACAGGTCTCACCTAACAGGCCTTATCCAGGCCGTCCTACCCGTCTCCGCCTTCCCCTCCAGGCCTCACTGCACTCTGGACGCTGTTACGGCACGCGGCCCTTTGGGTCCACAAGAACAAGGGTGGGATCCTAATGTTCTCTGCAGACTTAGGAAGACATTTGACATTGAGGAAAGACCTGGTGTACATTGTTTGCCTGATCCAAGGCTGGGGGGGGGGGCGCGCCGCCTGGGACAGTCTTTGGAGTCACTGCCGTCAATACTAAGAGACTATACATCAGAATCGACTGGATGGCAGTGGGTTTGGTCTGGTGGGGGGTGGGGGGGCATTTAGTGACCGCAACAGCAACACTGCTAAGAATGATGGTGATGAGAAGGACAGAATATCACGGTGATGATGACTGGTCACCACTTCCGGAGAACATACCCTCTAGGGACCATCACAAGGAATGTTTTCAAATTGGGTTGAACTATGTAAATGACCCTTTGTATCGATTAAAATAAATAGCCAAATACCAGCAAATTCTTATGGCCTCACCTAACAGTTAGCTAATTCTTCTTCACCACCATCCTATAAAGTAAGTACCATCATTACATTTATTTCAGAGGGTGGAATATGCATCCAGAATATATAACAAAACTCTCCAAACAAAAATAAGAAAAACAAACAACACAGTTTTAAATTGGGCAAGAGAGTTCAATAGACAGTGCATTATTGGTGGCGAATAAGGGCATGAAAAGATGTTCTCAGCATCATTGGTCACTGAGAGAAATGCAAATCAAAGCCACACCTATTAGAATGGCCAACATCAAAGCCACACCTATTAGAATGGCCAACATTAGAAAGACACTCCTCCCAAGTGGTGGAGAGGATGTAGAAGAACTGGAACTCCCGTGCACTGCCGGCGGGAACATAAAATGGTACAACCGGGGTGGAAAACAGTGTGTAGTGTCTTTAAAAAGTGAGACATGTACCTATCATATGATTGAGCAATTCTACACCTAAGCATCTACCCAATAGAAGTAAGCACTTGGGTTTATACTAACTTCTGTATTCTTAACTTCTGGGAAAGACCAGTCCCTGGAAAAGGACCTCATGCTCGGTGAAGCAGAGAGTCGATCAAAGAGAAGACAACCCTCCAGGAGATGGGATGACACAGTTAGAGACCCACCACCAGTCAAGATGCAGCACAGTGCCGCCCAATGGTGCAATGGTGTTACGCGCCCATACCATCAATTGTGAGGGAGGTTACTGCAGGGCCAGGCGGTGCGCAGGTCTGTCCTACACTGGGCTATGTTGGAATGAACCTGGCGATATCGGACAAAACCTCAAAGCCAGACGACCGAAATCTCCTCCAAATGGAAAACAGCCCGATAAACAGCCGCTCCATGGAATACTATTCACCAACTAAAAGACAATGCCGCATGGATGGATTTCCAATGCCTACTGGATTTGTCGTCATTAAGTGAAAGAAGCCTGATCATGAAATGCTGTATGATCTCATTCATGGGACATTCTAAACATAAATTAAGAAATAAAACAATGGAACAGAAAACAGCTCCACGGTTGCCAAGAGGCAAGGGTGATGGTGAGGAACCAGCAGACTCCTTTGGGTGGTACAAATGGTTTACACCTGATGACTAACCTACTAGGTTGGCAGTTCAAATCCCGAGGTGCAGAAGGCCTGGCTCTCTGCTTCTGTAAGATGACAGTCAAGGAAACCCTGTGGATCCCCCAGAGTCACCCTGAGTGGGAATCGATGGCAACAGGGTGGGTTTGTTTCTGGGGCCACTGTGCTTCACCTGGAGTGTGGTGGTGGGTCTCCAACTGTCTGTATCTGTCAAAACTCTCACATCGATACACTATTGTTAAGTTATCCTAGCTTTTTAAAACTGGGGAAGCTTACGGGCCTGGGATTCTGGAGGACAGGACGGTGACATCACCATGCTGTCAGCAGCTTGACCTACAGGCCTACATGCTTGTGGATGTTTCATGGAAGAAAAATGTCAAGAGACAGTTCAGCCCCCAGGCCACTCTCCCGCTGTCACTCTGCCAGCGATCTGTGCGGCTTCCGCGTCTGGACAGCAGCTTCTTCTACCCATTACTATTGAGCATGACAGCTGCTGTCCGGCCCTGGCCAGTGGCTTCTTGCTGTCACCACCCTGGGGACATTGATTGGGCTTCGGCACCTTTAATCAGCTCTGACACCAAACTTGGAGAGCGAGAAAAGGGGGCAGAAATGGAGCCGAGACGACCAGGTCTCCTCCCCCGCCTGTTGGCAGGCCCAGTGATGGATTCCTCACTCTGAATCATCCAGCATGATGGAGAACCAGACGCCGGGTGACATTCCAGGAAGCGGGCTCCCCTGCCACCAGCCTCCCCCACACCATGAGAACGGATGATTGATAAATGCCAGGCTTCCTTGGGCCTGGCCTGTGGAGTCACAAGAGATGCTGGCAGGGTGGTCTCGGCTCTTGATGTCAATCAGGATGCTCAGTGAGGGGCACTCCAGGCCGGTAGTCCCAAGACCTGATCTGGGAGCATCAGAGCAGGAGGTTGGGGGCTTCTTCCATGCCTCCCCTGGACCGTGATGTTGAAAGAAAGTGTGGGTGGTTGCCGAGAGTCAGCTGTGAGGACAGAGGTAAGAGCTGTATGCAAGCACAGTCCCACTCAATCTTCTATTCTAGACATGCTTGCCGAGTACTGAAACCAGAAGGAAAGAAGTTTCCACCAAGTTGATTCCATGTCATGTTGACCCCATTTGTGCAGACTAGACCTACTGGATTTTCGTGGCTGGGACCTTTCAGGGGCAGCTCACCAGGCCCATTTCGGAGGTACGGCCTGCCAACCTTCTGTTTATAAGCAAGCACTTAACTGTCTGCATCACCAAGGGACTCCTAATACAGGCTAAATATTGTTCTATGTGCTGGCAATCACAATGAACAAGACTGACATGGCTCCTCCCTCCTGGAGCTTGCATTCTGTTGGATAAAATCAGCCAGTGAGCAGTAAATCAAGTCTAAGAGGGTGGAGTTCAAGTGGAAGAAATTACATTCTCACAAGAGGGGCAGGGAGTAGAGAAAGCATAGAGGCATTGTACTTCTATAAAGAGGGTAGTCGGAAGATAATTCAGCCATGTCCAAGGACCCGCAGAGCGGGTGCATCGCGGGCATGGGGCTAGGACATGGTGACTTGGGGACGGGAGGTTGCAGGTCTGTACTTATGGCACACAGAGATGTTCAGACAGCCAGTGGGGGTTGGACACAGGACTGATGTGATCTGACTCGAGTTGTGAAAGGGTCCTTTGGGCTGAAATGACAGGCTAAATGTAGCGAGCCAGAGCAGAAGCAGGAAGGGAGTGAAAGACTGTGGTGGTTTGCACTGACGTGCTGGCAGTGAAGAGGATGAGAGTCATCAGTCTGAATCTATTACAGGAAGGCTCACACATGGGCGGTTGAGACTAAGAGCAAGGAAATCCAAGAATGAAGTATCACTGAGTGAGACGGAGAAGACTCTAGACTAAGAACTACACTGGGGCAGGGGGCTAGAAAACAAACCAGACACCTGATGTTGTGCGTGCTAAGTCCGAGATATCTGTGGAGTAGATACATGTGAAGACGTCCACAGC